AGTGGTGGCGGCCCGCGCAGCTTGGCGTCTACCAGCGGCTCCGGTGCTGTCACATGTCAGTACCAGCTTCAGACCGGGCCCCTTCGCGGCATTCTGTGCCGCCGCCCGCACCCGACTGCCCGTTGTTTCCGCCGCCTTAACGATCTGTTTCGTCGTCGCTTTGGCCCGGCCCCGGACCTCCCAGACTGGCACAGACTGCTCCGCCAGGGCGTGCCGATCTTTGAGTTAGACATGGATCAGATAGGTGTTGCTTTGCATGCCATGTATTTTGACGCTGCTAGTGTTGCTGGATCTTATTATCCTGTGTTCTCTAGTTTAGGTGTTGCACCGTTGTGTAGCCTAGCCTCCCCTGCTGCGTCAGGCGTAGGACTGCCTAGTTTGTCTAGCCTCGTCTCTGCACCGGCTCCGTTCCCCGCCCCTGCCACTGCTGCGCTGTCCTTCACTCTCGACTCTGGTGCTTCTACCTGCTTCTTCTGCGACCGTTTCGCACTTACGCCGCTTGCTACGCCAGCTGTCGTCTCTCTCGCCGACCCCTCTGCGGGTCCTGTCGTCGCTCGCAGTTCTACGTCCCTTCCCTGTCGAGCCGTTCCCTCGGGCTCCCTTACAGGCCTCCACGTTCCCTCATTCTCGAGGAACCTGGTTGGTGTCGGATGTCTCCAGGACCTCGGTGTCACCACCACGTTCCCCAGGCACGAGCGGTTCGCTGTCTGTTCTGAGGCTGTCTCAGGTTCCCCCCTTGCGACGTTCCCCAGGGACCCGGTGTCCGGTCTGTTTACCCTAGACACCGCCTCCCCTCCGGTTGGTGCGTCCTCCCAGGTTGCTGCAGCTTGCTCGTGTCGTTCCCTCACTCACCCGTCCCTTCTCTGGCACCACCGCTTAGGTCACCCTGCTCTCCCTCGTCTACGTCACATGTCCCAGCACGGCCTTGTCTTAGGTCTCCCTGTGTCGCTCCCCGCCCTTCCTCCCTCGACTGCGCCACCGTGCACGCCTTGCGTCGAGGGCCGGCTCCGCCGTGCCCCTCACTCCTCCTCGCTGCGCCCGGCTACTGCCCCCCTTCAGACCCTGCACCTGGACGTTTGGGGCCCTGCCCCCGTCCCCGGACCGCGCGGTGAGCGCAACTTCCTTGTGCTCGTCGACGACTACACGCGCTACACCACGGTGTTTCCCCTGGAGCGGAAGGCCGACGTGCCCGACGTTCTTCTCCCGTGGGTTGTGGCTGCGCGTCTCCACCGCGGCCTCCCCGTGTTGTGTCTCCACTCCGACCGTGGCGGCGAGTTCGCCTCTGGTCGGCTTGGACAGTTCTGTCGTGCAGAGGGCATCACCCAGTCGTACACCTTGCCGGACTCGCCACAGCAGAATGGGGTTGCTGAGCGCCGCATCGGCTTGGTCATGGAGGTCGCCCGCACCTCCATGATCCATGCCGATGCCCCCCATTTTCTGTGGCCGTTCGCTGTTCGCTACGCTGCTCACCAGCTTAACCTGTGGCCACGCTCCCAGCGGCCGCAGGTTTCGCCGACCCTTCTTTGGACCGGGTCCCCCGGTGACGCGTCTGCGTTCCACGTCTGGAGCTGCCTTGCTCACGTTCGTGCCTCTGGCATGGACAAGCTCACTACCCGCACTGTCCCCTGTGTCTTCCTCGGTTTCCCCCTGGACTCGTCTAACTGGCTTTTCAATCACCCGCCGTCTCACCGCTTCCTCCACTCTCGTGACGTTACCTTTGACGAGTCCGTCTCCTTTTACCGCCGCTTCACTCACCGAGGTCTCCCACTTGCCCCCCCCCTGTTCCTTGCTCCCTCTCCCCCGGTAGCCCCTGCCCCTCTCCCGCCTCGTCCTGCCCCGTCTGGTGTCTCTCACGTCACTCCCCTCCCGTCGGTTGTCCCCGTTGAGGAGTCTGCTGACTCTGGTGGTACCCCCGGCCTGTCCTTGCCGCGTCCCCCTTCCTCGGTGCCCCCGCCCCCACTGTCGCAGTCGCCGACCCCGCTGCAGCCGCCGTCGCCGTCGCCGCCGCAGCCGTCGCCGCTGTCGCCGCCGCCACTGCCGCCGCCGCTCTTGGCTTCTGGGGGTGCCGCTGGTGTTGGGGGGGGTTCTCGCTCTGGGGGTGTTGGTTCTGGGGGTGTCGCTGTTGAGTGTTCTGCTGACGATCGTTATGCCTCTGCTGGTCCGAGAGTTCCGGCCCAGCCGTCGTCGTCGCCGCCGGTCTCCGCTCTCCGCCTACTCGGCCTTCCCTCCCCGGACCGCGCGCCGGTGTCTCCCCCACCGCCCGCTGACCTTCCTGTCTACGGTCCTGTGTTCCCGCCGCCGGACTCGTCTCCGGCCCGTCTTCCTCCTCGTTCCCCTCCTGTGTCTCCTCCACTGTCCCTTGACCCTACCCCTCCGTCTCACGTTTGGGCTCGTCAACCCTCCCGTGCTCGTCCCGTCTCTCCTGTCCTGCCCACCCACCCTATGTTGCTCCGTTCCCGCTTGTCTCGCCCTCCTCTCCTCCCGTCCCCTCCTCCCTCGTCCCTTGCTGTTGCACCTCCTCCGTTCTCTGACTACCTCCGTGCCGCTCGTCCCCTTGTCCCTCGGGTCCTTGCCTCTCTTGTTACCGACCCTGTTGTTCCTGTCTCGCGCCTTGACGCGCTTGTCGCTGCTGTCGCTGACTTCGCCTCTACCCGCCACCTTAACTACGCTACCGCTCTGGTCTCTGACCCTGCCCGTCCGTCGGGGGTGCTCCTGCCCTTGGCAGTGACGTCCTAGAGGACAGGCAGTACGAGCTGGCTTTCCTGTCCGAGGCTGCTCCCCATGCTCCTAGTCCCTGAGGGTGACCCAGACGCCTTCGACATCCCGACCCCTCGCACCTACGCTGAGGCCACTTCGGGACCTTGGGCCTCTGAGTGGGTAGCTGCCATGAAGCAGGAGATGGCATCTTGGAGGTCCACCGGCACTTACGTCGACGCTGTTCCCCCGCCTAGGGTGAACGTAGTCGATGGTCGGTGGCTCTTGAAGGTGAAGCGCCCCCCTGGAGAGCCGCCTGTCTTCAAGGCGCGCTACGTGGCCAGAGGTTTTAGTCAGCGCGAGGGGGTTGACTTCTTCCAGACCTTCGCCCCGACCCCGAAGATGACCACTCTTCGGACGCTGCTACACGTAGCAGCACAGCGTGACTACGAGCTTCACTCCCTCGAATTCTCTACTGCCTTTCTTCAGGGCAGCCTACACGAGCAGGTCTACCTGCGCCGACCACAGGGCTTCACTGGTACCTTCCCTCCTGGGACCCAGTGGCTTCTCAGGCGCCCGGTCTACGGCCTGCGTCAGGCTCCCTGCGAGTGGCACGACACGCTACGTGCCACGTTAGCAGACCTGCAGTTCTTTCCGTCCTCTGCTGACCCTTCACTGTTTGTGCGTTCCGGCCAGACTCCGTTCTACATCCTTGTCTACGTAGACGACCTGGTCTTCGCTACTCCTGACAGGGACGCACTGGCCTCTGTGAAGACTGAGCTGCTGAAGCGACACACCTGCACTGATCTTGGAGAGCTGCGTCGCTATCTTGGCCTGCAGATCTCCAGGGATAGAGCAGCACGCACCATCACTCTGACCCAGTCACACTTGGTGCGTCAGGTCCTTCAGAGGTTCGGTCTTCAGTTCTCCTCTGCACAGCCCACACCTCTACCTGTAGACCACGGGCTTTCCGCTCCTGTTCCTGAGGAGTCAGTAGAGCCCAGTGGCCCCTACGCAGAGCTGGTGGGTTGCCTCATGTACCTAATGACCTGCACTCGCCCAGATCTCGCATACCCTCTCAGCATCCTGGCTCGCTTTGTGACCACTGGCAGACACCGACCACAGCACTGGTCGGCAGCCAAGAGGGTTTTGCGATATCTAGCAGGTACATCAGGCATGGGGTTAGTGTTAGGAGGACGCAGGCCAGTGGTCCTCACTGGGCACACAGACGCTTCTTGGGCAGACGACTCTGAGACGCTCAGGCCGTCACAGGGCTACTGTTTTAGCCTTGGTTTAGGTGCTATCTCTTGGAGATCCACTCGCCCGTCGTCTGTTGCTCAGTCGAGCTGTGAGGCTGAGATCTACGCTGGTGCCATGGCGGCACAGGAGCTCCGCTGGCTGACCTTCTTGCTCACAGACTTAGGTGAGCGGCCTAGCTCTGCCCCGGTCCTGTACGCTGACAACAGGGCCATGATACTCCTGTGTCAGGAGCCTCGACTTGAGGGCAGAGCGAAGCACATTCAGCTGCGGTACTTCCCTCCTGCCCGAGCTACAGCAGCGTCGCAAGGCCCGCGTAGTTCACTTGGCCTCTGGTGCCAACACAGCTGATATCTTTACGAAGGCGCTTGCGCCTAAAGATCATCAGCGGCACTGTGTACAGCTCGGTCTAGTTCCTGTAGCCTCTCACTTGCTAGGACCTTGACTTTGTACTGTCCTGTATATATCTAAATATATGTACTCAGACTGGACTTGTGTCCTTTCCCAGTGGCTGGACTAGTAGTGCCGCCCTGGGCTTGTTCTTGTCTTGCCTGTACTCCTTTTGACTGGTCTTTAGACCCTTGTCTCAGTGGCTGGACTTGTAGTGCCGCCCTGCGCTGCTTGTTTAGGATTTGCCCCTATGCAGTCTAGGGGGTGTGTCAAATATATGTATAACTCATATTTGTATAGACTGTATAGGGTCACCTCTTAGAGGGTACAAAACTCTTAGGTATATACCCTTGTTCTCTCCCTCTATGAAATCATTCAGTTTTTCTTTTGATACTCTCCCGATATAATCGGACTACTCTACGGAAGACTAAGCGGGCAGGAACGAGGCTCTGATACCTGTTGTTATGAATTAATCAGAGTAATAACAGGTAGTGTAATAAATGAGTCGTGATTCAAGAGTGTGGATACAAATAAGGGCCTGGGCATTTATAGGCACGAACAGAGCTAGCCGAGAACCACGCGAACAGGTTAGGGCGATTCGGTTGGCGAAAGCCACGGAAGCACTGTGCGTCAAGGTTTGGGTTCGCGAAATGGTTCAGGACCTAAGAAGTTGGCCGAGCCTGGACTTCCGAGAGTTGAGGGCGTACGCGCTGTAGTCGAGCCCAGTTAGGAAAAGGGAATTTCCTTACACCCCATGTCCGTTCTACACAACTAGAAACTCAAAAGTTCCTCTGGGTCAGTGTTCAATGACACAATTACAGTGAACCCCTCAAATTACCATACACGAGCAACTAATAAATTCCTCAATCTGCATTGACCCCGTCCTCCTGATTTTCTCTCTGCCTGCGCTCTAAGCTGTACTCGGATTCCGGAAAGGCATAGCACAGGGCGACAGCAGCTGGGAGCATCTCGCAGCAGATGAGGAAATGATTAACTGCTTGCTCCACATTCCTCGGCGTGTACGGCAACTGGTGCGGCTGAATCCTCCCATACCCCACCAACAAATCCACCACCACACTTTGCCAGTACGGCAGGAACACAAGCGGCACCAGGCATAGAAACTTGCTCAAGGCATGGAACGGAGCGAACTGATCCTCAAATGTGTAGTAGAGCAGCAGCAGGGCATAGGCAGCCAGATAGAGCGATGCATGCTGGGAGAGGGTGAGGAGCCAGGAGAGAGCGGAGTGGACGGGGGGAGAGAGGAGGAGGGAGGCTTGAAGGTGGAGGAGGCAGGAGAGGAGGGAGAGGACTGGGAGCAGGCGCACTAGCTGGCGGATCCACTGCGAGAGACGATTCAGCGTTGCGCGATTGGCTCGCACCTCGGGACGCTGTTGGGAGAAGGGAAGAAAAGAGAAAGAAACGACGGGGGACGATAGGAAGGGGGAGGATTGGGAGCAGGCGCACTAGCAGGCGGATCCACTGCGAGAGACGATTCAGTGTTGCGCATTTGGCTCGCATCTCGGGACGCTGTTGGAAGAAGGGAAGGAAAACGGCAGGGGATGATAGAAAGGGAGAGGTTGAAAACTACAAAGAGAAACAAAGGGGTGGAACGTGGTGGAAGGAGGTGCGGTAAGGTAGTGGAGCTCAGAAGTCCCTGGGTTGCGATGCAGCACATAACAGGCGTGAGAGGATATAGGAGGAAACACATAAGCCTGGTTGTTTGTGGCGCTTCAAAACATGTCGCATCTGTGGGGCGCGAGAGTATGCAGAAAAAAACAAACGAACAGAACAAACGAAAGAAACGAACCAAACGGAAACGTGCCTCAAGAACGTACCAGGAAAAGCGTGAAGGGGAAGGAGTGATGCAGCATGCGGCGAGAGGCGGCGTGGGGGAGAGGGGCTGTGGGCTGGTGAGGGACTTGGAGATAGGCGAAGAGAAGAGCGAGGAACTCAGATACGCCCTGCAGAGAGGAGAGACAAGTTCATAAGGAGACGAGAGAGCATGAGGAGACGAGGCAAAGGGAAGAGAGGAAGTGAACAGAAGGTGAGAAGAGATGATGTGATGGGAGAACGAGAGGAAACGAGAGGACAAGGGGGGGGGAGGAGTGGGCGCACGCAGCACATGTAGAACATGCAGAGCGTGCACAACATGCACAACATGCACAACACGGACAATATGCATAACATGCACAACATTAACAGCATGCGGAGGCACACGCAGAAGATGCAAAACATGCAGAACATGCAAAACATGCAGAACATGCAGAACATGCGGAACATCTGCTACATTTTGAGGCGTCTAAATAATAGAATCCTCAAGCATGTATTATGAGCCGCCTCATGCAGAACATTTGCTGTCCTTTGCATTCATCTGGGGCAAGGCCAGCTCGTGCAAATGGGATGGGGCCGTGGGTAGCGCGTAAGTAAAACGCCCCGTTGCCAAAGACCGTGTGTTGTGTGTGGTGACAACAGAGCAAGCAAGCCGCAACCATGCGTTGAAAAATAATATTGAGACTGGTAGGGAGGTGGTTATGCGGGATTGGGACCAAGGAGGATGAGAGCCGGAGCGAGTTTGATTTTTTCAAAAAATAGCAAGCCTTGTGTCATTAACTAGTTCTAGTAAAGAACTGGAGGCTTACGTGCCTTTGGCCCGGAGCCGTCATCAGCGCTTTAGGGAGGTGGTTATGCGGGGTCTATTTTTTAGGCGCCTCCAAAAGAGATTGGTAGGGAGGTGGTTATGTGGGGTTGGGACCCAGGAGGAAGAGAGAAGGAGCGGAAGGGAGGGGGAAGGTAGGTTGAGGAGGTAGGTCGAGGGCATACGTACGAAAGCGACGTAGCAGTCGGTGAGCACGTGCAGCAGCGCCACCTGCCCGAGTGAACAGCACTCGAATCCAGGCATATTCTGAGTCGACTCAAGAGAAGGGAGGGAGGTTGATCGAGGGGATACATACGAATGCGACGTAGGAGTCTCTGAGCACATGCAGCAGCGCCACCTGCCACTCAAATCCAGGCATCTCCGCCAACCCTGCAGGCACCTCGCAGCAGGGAGGGGGTGAGTGGGGGTGAGGGGGGATGAGACACATAGCCGGGTCTACAGGATTGGCTGAGATGTCTTCCGTATGGTAACGAGCCACTAGCTTGTGCTTACGCTTCACCATCTCATGGCCGCTCATCTATTTCTCAATGGGAAACGAGCCACTTGAACGACGCTCAATGGGAGGAACCACTAGCGGCTCACCGAAGTACGAGTCAAGAGCAACGATGGGCGCGAGGCCGACAATGGCCATGATGGCGCGCTGCTCGCGCGGCTTGGTCCAGTCGCGCGTGTGGCGGCCGATGAGGTTCACACAGAGGTTGCTCGCCACCAGCGTCGCTATCCCCGCTATAAACAGCGTCAGCCGCCGCGGATCGAGCAGACGAGCCACCTCCTCAGCTTGTATCTCCTCAGGGGTCTTCATGGCCCCTTCCTTGCTCCTCTCCTCCTCCTCCTCCTCCTCCTCCTCCTCCTCGGTCCCCAGAAGCTTGTCGTCCTGTATACCTTCTTGTTTAGTCGGAAACGGTGGTGGTAGAGGCACCAGACCGCTGCTGCTGCTGCTGCTGCAACTGCTGCTGCTGTTAAAGCCTATTGATCCGCCGTTGGAAGTGGCAACGATTCCCCACACCTCTTCCCACTGGCCGCTCCACTAGTGAGGCCACGCCTGATGCAATGCGATCCAACGCAGGCTATCCGTTAGTGGAAGCTCCGTTGAGCTCAGGTACAAGCTTTTCTTAAAAGTCGGACCATTCCTCCTGAGGCAGGATCACCAGGAACATCGACAATGACCGAAACGGTTGTTGGAAAGATGCAGCTTAACTCGGTACCGTACTGTGCATGGGAGGGTGGAGCAAAAAAAGGGGACGCGGGAGGATGGACAGGATGGACTGAGGGAGCGAGAGTGGGCGCGATAGAGGAAAAGGGAGAGGGAGTGATGGAGGGAGGGAGAGGGAGAGGGAGAGGGAGAGGGAGAGGGAGAGGGAGAGGGAGAGAGGGAGAGGGAGAGGGAGAGGGAGAGGGAGAGGGAGAGGGAGAGACAGAGAGGGAGAGGGGGAGAGGGATCGAGGGAGGTCAGTTCAGTGAGGGAGCGCGGGAAGGAATGAGGAGGCGGAGGCCAGGGGGGGACGGGGGAAGCGCCTTGGTGGAAAATAGAAAGTAGGGGGAACGACTGCTACGGGCCGCGGTACAATCGGAACAAACAAACGGAGGGGGGCACGGAATCCCAAGCCAAGGGGGGGAATGGAGTCAAAGCGGAATCGGGGATGCGCAATGGCGGAAGGGAGACAGGGCGAGCGGGATCAACTGCCAGATTCTGGCGTCACATCAGAAAGAGAAGAGACTGGGCCGTCGGGTGGAGTGGAAGTAAAACCGGTGTGGGGATGCACAATGGCGGCACGGATATAGCGCAGCGCGATCAGCTGGAAGAGCATAGCGTCGCGTCAAGGAGAGACTGGACCGTTGGAGAGTGAAGCATAGGCCGTGCCCAGGCCGAATTCCGCATTCGCCGAATTCAATATTTGCTGAATTCAGTATTCGCTGAATTCAGGTCTGTTCTGGTCTGGTTGGGATTGACGCTGACCTTACACGGAACGACGACCGCCGTCGCAGTCGCAGCGAAACGTATTGGGTAGGCGAATCTCGTCCCCGTCCCCCCGAAAGCCGCTCTCTCGCAAGGTTGCTCGTGCCTAGCTTGATAACTCGTGATGGGACGGAAAGAAAACGATCTGGAATCACTACTACTGTACAGCGATCTGGAACATGCTGTGTCTGCATCGTGGAATTACGAAATCCCGAGGTTTGCGGGTTACAGAGAGATGGAGTGAGGCCAAGTGCAATTCAGTAAGGTGCAGTGAGATGGGTGACTGTCACCTTGGGTTTGGCGGAGGTGCTTGTAGAGTTTTGTTTCTAACTACCCTACTGTATCTCTCAGGGCCTGATTTAATTTGGTGTCATCCTAAGTTGGTGTCATCCGGGAAAGTTGGAAAACTAATCACGTGCGTTCTGCTGAAACTTTACAGCATACGATTGGTTTCCATCTATCTCGAATGACACGAACTTGAGATGACACCAACTAGAAACAAGCCCTCTGCGACATCACACAACGTCAACCAGTGAGTCAGGCAAGGGTTAATGCTCCAAAGTGTGTCACCTTGGTACAACTGCTGCATTGACACTTTTGCAAGAAGTTCAGTAAACTACTGATTCGGAGCGAGGGACAAGCTTGGGGTAGGGTGGTGGTTCGGGTCCTTTTAGCAGCTTTCAGGAAACATGCTCGGTACCCCCACACATTTCTCTTGGTTTTTGGGACTTCCCAGCACTAAAGGATTAGGAAGCTGCTGAACCCGTTTGTGCCCACCTGTCAACGCCTACAAGAAGAATTGCGATATGGGACTCAACAAATGCACACAAAACGTGAACCCTTTGAATGATAAAAACAAACAGAAGCCACCAACCCAAACATTTACAAAATATACATTGATTCCTCGACTTATGCATACCGAAGCACCTGCATTAAAAACGACAACTGCATCAGATTGAACTTGGAGAAAAGCAAAAAAACTTGCTCTACGTCGCCCCACCAACAAAGCAATAAAAACTCGTAACAGGGCACTTACATGGCGGGAGCCTCGTGACATGATGTACATTATGTGGTACACAATGCGGAAGGCAAAGAATATCACCAAGAGCCACCATAGGGAGGTCAACGTGAGGCCGATGCGCAGTAAGGCAACAAACGAGGCGGCAACCATGAGGAGATTGAGCAGCTGCATGGTCGGCAGGTAGGCAAAGTCATCTGGAGAGGGGGAAAAGGAAGTGGGTGGACAAAGGGTTGGAGTTTTGTCAACCACAAGTGATTTTCTTCTTTTTAGCGGCAACCACGAGGAGATTGAGCAGCTGCATGGTTGGCTTGGCAGATAGGCGAAATCATCTAAAGGGAAATAGGATCCACAGAAACAAGATGGTGGTAAGGGAGGTAGGAAAGATGGTAGGGTTTCAAAAGAGTGATCCTAAGGAGGGGAATGGAAGGATGACTGACAGCCAGCCATGGCTGCAGGCTGAAATGAAGCTCATGAGCAGCCGGTTTAGGTCATGCCACACCAGTCAGGCTCGTGAACGACAATGCCTGTCTCAATGTTATTGAAAAAGGAAGGCTCATGTGTGCAATCCCGTCATTCATGATACCAATGTCACCAAGGAAGGCGTGTGTGTGCTACTTTCTGTACATACACACCACGCTCTTTCCAACACATTATTGCTTCCGACTTCAGCATCTCATGTTCCAAGCGTGAGGAGTCTATTTTTGAGGCGCCTAAAAATTTCAGCATCTCATGTCCCAGTTCAGCTCAGCTCTGCTTTGCTTTGCTTGCCTTTGCCTTTGCCTTTGCTTTTGCCTCCTTTGCCTTTGCCTTCTTTGCCTTTGCCTTTGCCTTTGCCTTTGCACCATGTCGCAGACCCACAATTGAACCACCAAACCACCGAGCCTCACTACTCCTCCTCTCACCTGCCCCGATGGCGATCCCCTCTAGCGACATGGACACAGCAGCCAGGCACGCGCAGGCAGCGCTGTGCCACACCACGCTTCGAACCGCCAACAACACCTGATTGCTCCCCCTTCTCACATAACCCCACCTCTCCCTTTTCTCACCTGCCCCGATGGCGATCCCCTCTAGCGACATGGCGACAGCAGCCAGGCACTCGCAGGCAGCGCTGTGCCACGCCACGCTCCTCACCGCGCGGCGCACAGCGGGTTCCGAGGAGAGCAGGTGGGCGGCGCAGAGGGAGAGCGTGAGCACGAGGATCGCGAGGAAGGCACCCGTGAGTGCTGCCATCAGCAGCAGCTGACGAGCCGTGCGCGCTGCACGCTGGGATGGGAGGGGGGAGAAGGGTGCAGTGGACGGATAAGGTGCAGGCAGGCGGCTTCAATACTTGCCATTAGGAGGAATTGACGAGTCGTGTGGGATGCACGCTGCGAGGGGAAGCGGGAGGAGGGGGGAGGAAACCGGGGATGAGGGATGGGGTCCTAGGAGAGCAGGTGGGAGGCACAGAGGGAGAGGGAGAAAACGAGGAGGGCGAGAACTGCTGCGGTGAGTGCTGCCACCAGCAGCAGCTGACGCGCCGTGTGCGCTGCATGCTGGGATCAGAGAAGTGGGGAGGGAGGAGGGGGGGGGGGGGGGGGGGGGGGGGGGGGGGAAGGAGGAAAAGAGCAGGGGAGGCATGGATGGAGGAGGCGCAGGGGGAGGGAGAGGAGGACGCCCGTGAGTGCAGGCGTCAGCAGGATCTGATGGGCGGTGAGCAGGGCATTGCAATGCATGATGCAGAAAAAGGTCCACACAGGTCATTGAGTCAATGCATTGCGCATTGCGCATTGCGATGCATTGACTAGAGACAAATGCGTACGCGATGGCGCGCCATCCATGCGACCATTCGCTGCCTACTGGATCTTTGTTCTTTGTTTGGTTCTTTCTTTTGTTTTAATTAAAAAAACGGGTTGCCACATTATGGCACGTGAAAGTATCGCAGAATACGCGAGGCAAGTGAAGTAGGAAGAGCCTTCCCTTCCCCGTTCTCACAACCCCCCTCCCACAGGTAGTACCTGCACAGGCTCCCATCTCGGGCCTGGTTTTGATTTCTTACCCCCCACCAGCGATTGGGCTGCCAGGGACAGCCGCTCTGCTTTTGAGGAGCCAAAAGAAAGCCACCTCTCGCTAAAGCGGTCCCTACATTGCACATCTCGCTTACCTCGGGTCTGGTCTTGATGTCTCGCCCCACCAGCGACTGCGCTGCCAGGGACAGCGGCTCTGCGAAATAGCTGAGGGTCCAGAACACCTGTGAGAGAGAGAGATGGGGGGGGGGAGACGGGGGGACTACTTTTGAGGCGCCTAAGAAATCGGCTCTGTATAAGAGCCGAGGGTCCAGAACATCTGCGAGAAAGAGATTGGAGGGGGGGGGGAAGACGAGGAGTCTATTTTTTAGGCGTAAGAGCTGGGCGCCTTAAAAATCGGCTCTGTAAGAGCTGAGCGTCCGGAATAGCTGCAAGAGAGAGATGGGTGGGGAGGGGAGTGGTGAGGGAGTGAAACAACGTGCTGCTAGGGACAGCGGCTCTGCAGATCAGCTTAATAAAACAACCGAAAGGGCGCAGGAACGAGTGGGGAAAGCATAACTGTACGTGCGTGTATGTGGGTGAGAAAGAGTGAGGGGGCGGATGGGGGTTGAGGGGGATGAGGAGTTGAGCGGAGTGGGGGGGGGAACTTGCGGCAGAAGAGCATAAGCGACGAAGGCTCTAGCACGTGCCATGACTGGCATATGAGCTGACTTTTGAGTGAAGGCTCTAAAGGCTCAGAAGGCTCAGAAGGCTCAGAAGGCTCAGAAGGCTCAAAAGGCTCAGAAGGCTCAGAAGGCTCATAAGGCTCTAGCACGTGCCATGACTGGCATATGAGTGTGCTCTTCTACCATATGGGCTGGGGGAGAAGAGCACATGGGGAAGAAGGGGAAGAAGGGGAAGAAGGGGAAGAAGGGAAGAAGGGGAAGAAGGGGAAGAAGGGGAAGAAGGGAAGAAGGGGAAGAAGGGGAAGAAGAGCATACGAGGAAGAAGAGCATACGAGGAAGAAGAGCATACGAGGAAGAAGAGCATACGAGGAAGAAGAGCATACGAGGAAGAAGAGCATACGAGGAAGAAGAGCATACCCAATGCTCTTCAGTGAGGACTGCCATGTACCAGCCTCATGTGCCCACACGTCCCCCCACATTCATCCCCCCCCAAACCTCTCCAAGTACCTGCATGGCCACCTGGTGTGCCGCCATTGAATAGAAGTCTACCTTTGAGACGTCTCAAAAACCAACCCCGCCCAGTGCCCACGCACCTGCATGGCCACCTGGTGTGCCGCCATAGCCACCACGCCCACCGTTGCTGCCCCTCGAGCCAGCAGTGTGTAGACCACCTGATGATGGGGAGCGGTTATTGTTGTAAAATACATATACATACAACATGCATGCCTAGATTAGGAGGTGTAGTCATTATCTTTATTGGGGGGTTGTTGGTTGGGTTGACCAACCCACATTTGGGTTGGTCAAGATTGGATTTGATCCTAGACATTTGGTTGGCACTATTCCAACCAAATGGTCCTAAGAACCAACCAATCACCAAGCACCACACTTTGAGGTTGTCTGCCTTCCAACTCTTCCTTGCTCGTTGTTTGTACAATAGAGCCTCTTCGCTCCCTACTCAATTCACTCTTTTCTCCTCAAAGCTAATTCCTTTATGGTAATCAGAGCCACAATGGCTCACGCCACCTCTAGTCGATCCTAACTAGCACGGCCCTAAGCCGTCCCTCCACATCCTCGAAGCCTAGCCCTTCCTTAGACTACTCCCCACACCGTCCGTGCGCCCTCTCTCGTCGCGCTCTCCTGTTGTGCCCGCTCTCCCTCCCGTCGCGCACCTCCTATCGCGCCCGCTCTCCCTTCTGTCGCGCACCTCCCGTCGCGCCTGTCGACGCCCCTCCGCCCGTCGAGTCCTCCGCGCGCGGCCCATCGCCGCGCCCTCCCATCGTGCGCCCTCTGCCGTCACGCGCGGCCGTCTGTCGCGCTCTCTTACTGCGCACCCATTCGTCGCGGCCCCCGAGCGCCCCGGCCGACGAATCCTTCCACCGCACCCCTACTCGCCGCAATCGTCGCCGCTTCCGCCTTCGCGACAGCCGTTTGTCACCGCTTTCGCCGTCGCACGTGGCCATCCATCGCCGTTTCTGCCGTCGCGCGCGGTCGTCCGTCGTCGTTTCCGCCGTCGAGCACGGCAGTTTCTCGCCGCTTTCACTGTCGCGCGCGGCGGTTCATCGCGCCCTCTCGTCGTGCTGCTCGTTGCCACATCCCCCCTTAAAGCGCCTTCGGCGACTTAAGAGCTGCGCTCCACGCACCTACTCTTTTCCTCCCTCCTCCTCCTCCTAATCCTCCCCCTCCTCCTCCTCCCCTTCCCCCCCCCCCCCCTCCTTCTCCTCCCCTTCCCCACCCCCCCCCCTCCTTCTCCTCCTCCTCCCCCTCCCTTCCTTCTCCTTCTCTTCCCCTTTCTTCCCCTCCTCCTCCTAAATGGCGTCCGATTCCTCGGCGGATCTCACCTCCGTGGACGCTCTCGAGCTGCTGCCCGACAACACCGCGGCCAATTGGCTTTCCTATGCCCAAACGGTCATGGTGCTTCTCTCCTCGGTGACGGTCAACGAATACAATCTGAAAGCCGTTGTCCATCTCGAGGAGCGCGCTCTTCAGCCTGCCCAGTCGGATGCTCCTGCGGGCCGTGCACCTATCACGCCTACCTCACCGACCACATCCGCCAGCAGCTGATCTACGAGGCTTCCCGCGCCGAGCATGCCGCCGCCGCCACTGCCGCCTACGACACGTACCAGGCGGCGCTTGCCGAGTACGCCAGGCGCGAGGCCACGTACATCACTGACCTCGCCCCTTGGCGTGTCACTGATCGGCGCGCGCTCACCATCCTCCTCGCCACCATTCCTCCCACCCTCAAGCGGGAGCTTGCTCCCACCTCGTCCTCCCACCTCTGGCAGCTCCTCACCGATCTCTGTGATCGGCAGGATGTTGCCACCCTCTACTCCCTCATCAAGGAATTCCAGAGCCTCACCATGGACTCTATCACCGGCGCAGCTGCCTTCACACGTCGTGTCCTCGACCTCGCTCGTCGTCTGGCGACTCTTGGCATGCCGTACCCAGACCCTGTGCTCTGCTGCCACTTCCTTGAAGGCTTGAATCCTGCCTTCGACACCCACAAGATCGCTTATATGCAGCTAATCGACAAGCACATCACCACTGCTAAGGTCGCCCAGTGGATCATCACCACTGAGGCCGACCTCTTGCGTCATTCCTCCTCCACCGCCGCGGTTGGTCAGCAGCGCAACAGCAGGGGAGGGCGTGGGTGGCGCCGGTCGTGGTGGTGGTCGTGGTGGTAGTGGTGCAGGACGTTGTACACCAGCCGCCTTTCCTCCTTGTCAGGAACTCCCTCGCTATGGCCCCACATAGGGTCAGCGCTGCGGCCAGACCACTCATGCCGCTCAGTGATGAGTGGTTTGCCTGCGGCGATTTCGGCACCCCCCCCCGCTGGTCCTCCCTCTCTCCTCGCCCCACTCCTCAGGAGGTTCGTGCCTCCACTCTCTACCAGCTCGGCTCCTCCCCCTTGGCCCACCAAGGCCATCTCTCAGCAGTAGCAGCAGTAGTTTCAGCCGCAGCAGCAGCAGCAGGGGCAGTCGTACCTCCTCTCCCAGCTGCAGCAGCAGCTTGACCTCCAGTCGCAGCTCCCCCTTGCACCTCCTCCTATGGCTCCCCCCCAGCAGCCCTACCTCACCTAGACCGCCGGCACCGCCGCTTCCGTAGCTCATCTCTCGGCCGCGTCTCCTGAGCCCTCCGCCATAGGCAGTGTGACTCCTTTCCCCTCTGGTTGGTCAGGTTGGATTCCGTGCCCCTTCTATGTATTCGGCTGCTATTAATGAGAATGTGATTCAGTACTCCGTCCCACCTCCTCCCTCACATCCCCTCCTTTCCACCACACTGGACTTTGTCCTTGATAGTGGAGCCAGAGAGTCAGTCCTTCGTAATGCTGGTGCCCTTCACCCTCTCCCTGCCCCCACCTCCCTCCTTGGTGCCGATTCCAGCTTCTCTATTCCCTGTCGCCACACCTCTACCCTCCCCTGTTCCCTCTTCCCCTCACGTACCGTCACCGGTTTACACATCCCCTCCCTCCGTACTAACCTCCTCTCCCACAATCCCTGCAGCAGGCCGCTATCACCACCGTCTTCCCAGGTCGCGCTAATCATTGCCTCCTATACCATCCCACAGGTCGCCTCCTCTCCCGTATTCCCTTTTGTCCTCGCTCCGCCTATATACCCTTCGTGTTCCTCGTTTTTCCTCTGCCCAAGCAGTCTCCCGCTCCCCCCCCCCCCCCCCCCCCCCCCTCACATCCCTCCCCCTCCTCTCCCTCCTTCTAACCCAACCATTCCCCCCCTTCCCCTTGACCCAACCTGCTCCTGTCAATCCCTCTCCCATCCCACCGTCCTCCTCCACCACAGGCTTGGTCACCCTAACTTTGTCACCCTCCGCTCGACCGTCTCCTCCGGCCTCCTTCGAGGTCTTCCCCTCACCCTCCCTCCCCTCCCTCCTTCCCTCCCCTGCCCCTCCTTGCTCCATCTGTGTCCAGAGCAAGCTTAAGCAGCTGCCGCATCGGAGTTCAACCTCCACTGCCGCTCAGCCGCTTGATCTTATTCACATGCACCTCTGGGGCCCCAACCCCTCCCCATCCCGACAGGGCCATTGCTACATGCTTGTTCTAGTCGATAATCACAGCCGATATTCTTCTATTTCCCCTCTTCACCCCAAGGGTGACGCTCCGGCTGCGATCATCGCCTGGCTCAAGCAAGCGAGTACCCACTTTGGTTGCCCTGTGAGCCGTCTTCACTTTGATGGCGGTGGCGAATTCTTTAACCGCCAGGTAGCCTCCTACTGTGAGCTTCATGGCATTCGTCAGACTCACACCCTCCCCCACTCCCCCCAGCAGAGCGGTGTGGACAAGAGCTGTGTTCAGGAGATCACCAAGATTGCTCGGTGTCTCCTTGTTCATGCCTCTTGCCCCCGTTCTCTGTGGGGCTATGCCCTCCTTCATGCCACCCTCCTTACTAACCTGTACCCCCAACCCATCCTTCCCTCCACCCCTCCCACCAAGCTTTGGACGTCTGCCAAGCCGGACGTCTCCTCCCTCCGTGTGTGGGGATCCAGGGCGTATGTCCTCATTCGCCCTACGGACCGCCCCCGCACCATGGGAAAGCTCGACTCTCGTACCCTCCCTTGCATCTTCCTTTGTCATAACCCCTCCTCCGCGGACTACCTCTTCCTTCACCCCCCCTCAGGTCACTTCCTCCGCAGTCGAGATTTGGTCTTTCTTGAGTCCACACCCTATTATTCCACTCCTCCCCCCACTGACCCTCTTGCCCCTGCTCCCAGGCCCCTAACCTGGTCCGACACTATCCCACCCCCTCTTCTCCCTCCCCCTGCCATACTCCCACCGGCTCCACCTCCGCCACTCCCCGCTGCCTCGGTCCCCAACGCTCTCCCCTCCTTTGGTGACATATTTGACCCTGATCCTCTCTTCCCCCTCGCCTCCCCGTCCCACTCCTCCCCTTCCGCCCCCTCCCGTCCTCCCCCCTCCCCTCGCGCCCCCCTCCCCCCCTGCGCCCCACCCGCTCCATCGTCACCCGGTATCCCCACACCAGGTCACGTGACGAAGTCCTAGGTGCCCCGCCTCCTGTTACCCTCTCTTCCTCTACCTTGCCTCCTCTCTCCCCTCTCATGGACCACCAACACTCCCAGCAGCAGCACACCTACCCATCGCAGCAGCACCATCAGCAGCAGCCATCAATCCTTCCTCACCTTCACCCGCAGCGGCACCAGCGGCAGCAGCAGATGCAGCACGAGCAGCCGCCTCAGCAGCAGCAGCGGCAGACACAACTTCAGCAGCAGCAGCAGTAGTATTTCCATTCATTTTCCACTCCTCCCTCCTCGAGGACTCCCATGAGGAGTTCCTCAACCTCCACGTACATGATCCAACCCTCCTACCCATCTCCCCTGATCTCAGCGGCACACCAGTCTTTGCCTTCTCCTCCGCCCCCACCATCTTCGTCCCCGCTACGTACGAGGAGGCCATGGCGTGCCCTGACGCCGACCTCTGGCTCGCGGCCATCCTCAAGGAATTGGAGGCGTTTATTGCCAACTCCTCTTTTGTGGATGTGCCCCGCCCTCCCCCTACCACGAACGTGGTAAAATGGAAGTTGGTGTTTCGAGTGAAGCAGCTGCCTGAAGAGCCGCCGGTCTTACACTGTCGACTTCTTTCACACCTTCTCTCCCACCGCCAAGCCTGCTACCATCTGTGCAGTGGTCGACCTCGCCGCTCGCCTCAACATGGAGATTCACTCCATGGAGGTCTCACTAGGCTCACATTCCTTCTTGAGGAGCTCGGTGCCCCTCAGCGCTGTCCCACCATCTGGTGCGACAACGCCATCACCATCCACCTTACGAAGGATGCTGTGTTCCATGGGCGCTCCACGCACATTGAGCTTCGCCACTACTTCATTCGCGAGCTCGTGCAGGTGGCCACCTCCAGATGGGCAAGATTGACTCTGCCGCCAATCTTGCCGACATCTTCACCAAAGCCCTCCCCCACGCCGCCCACTCCTCTCTCCTTCGCCTTCTTGGCCTCGCTCCCCCCGTTCCCTCGTCCGCCTCCTGATTCAAGGCATCTAGTCTTATGCATGTTGGGGATTTGTGTTGTAAAATACATATATATACAACATGCATGCCTAGATTAGGAGGTGTAGTCATTATCTTTATAAGGGGGTTGTTGGTTGGGTTGACCAACCCACATTTGGGTTGGTCAAGATTGGATTTGGTCATAGACATTTGGTTGGCACTATTGCAACCAAATGGTCCAAAAAACCAACCAATCACCAAGCACCACACTTTGTGGTTGCTTGCCTTCCAAGCAACCTCTCTCATTTATCCACATTGTGGCCAATCGGAGAGCACCACACTTCGTGGTTGCTTGCCCTCCAAGCAACCTCTCCCATTGGTCCACATTATGGCCAATAAGAGAGCTTCCCTTCCAACTCTTCCTTGCTCCTTGTTTGTGCAATAGAGCCTCGTGGCTCCCTTCTCAATTCACTCTTTTCTCCTCAAAGCTAATTCCTTCAGTAACATGGAGAATGGAGACTGGAGAATGGAGACTGGAGATTGGAGACTGAAGAATGGAGACTGGAGAATGGAGACTGGAGATTGGAGACTGAAGAATGGAGACTGGAGAATGGAGACTGGAGATTGAAGACTAGAGATTGAGGATAGAAATACGGAAGATTCCATATGTAACATGGAATGCGAAGATTCAAACCACATGGTGGATTCAATTCAGGAGAAAGTTCTTGGTCAACTCAACTCATAGGGACTCTCCCCTTGCCCATCTCTTCCTTCTTTCTTCCTCGCCCCTTGTCTCTCCCCTTCGACTTCCCCCTTTAGCTCATCCCCCCCCCATTGCCTCTCGCCTCTTCCCTCTCGCCTCTGTCACTCTGCTTCTCACCACGCTAGCGCTGCTACTCACCATTCCCAGCACGGATCTTGTAACGAGGGGCACCGCCATGGTCACTCACAATCGCTGAAGTCTCCTTATGCTGAAGTCTCTTTCTGCTGAAGTCTCTTTCTGATGAAGTCTCCTTCTGCTGAAGTCTCTTTCTGCTGAAGTCTCTTTCTGATAAAGTCTCCTTCTGCTGAAGTCGACTAACGAGTGACTTTTGAGTCGACTAACAACTCTCCCGCTGTGCTTCCCAGCCCCCCCTTTGCGCCACTCACCATGCCCAGCACGGATCTCGTAACGAGGGGCACCGCCATGGCCACAATCGCTGCAGTTTCTGGCTGGAGGTCCCACCCGAACCACCGGAGAGACACCTCCAGGCGATGCTTGGGTTGCTCGAGCTGATGGTGCCGATGGTGATGATGGTGGTGCTGGTGCTGCTCTTGCTGCTCCGGATGTGGCTTCTGCGCTTGTTGTTGTTGCTGCTGCAATCGTGGCCGCCATTGCCGCAAAACCCCACCAGTATTACGCTCCTCTGACCAGCCTCTGTCCCGCTCTGTGCTTGACTCTGCCTCCTCTCTTTCAACGTTTCCTCCTCGTCCCACCTCCTCTCCTCCCTGCACTAGTTGCTCAGGTCCCTCTGTGCTTGACTCCGCTCCTCCAACTCCGCCCCCTTGTCCCACCTCGCTCCCTCTCATGGAACCCCTCTCATGCCCCCTTTCTCTCTCCTCTGAAACCCTCCCCTTATCCTCCCACTCCTCCCCTCTTCCTTCCTCCCTATCTGCTAATCTCAACCCCCTCTCAACAACCCTTGTTTCCACTGTCAACCCCTCTCTCATTCTATCCTCTCCCACTATTCTATTCCCACCAGCCATACTTGACTGCCTTCCCTGCTGTTGGGCTGAGGAGAGGCAACAAGGGCAGAGAGGGAGAAGGGGGACAGAGGGAAGAAGGGCGCAGGGAAAATAGTGGGGAGAGAAGCACAGAGAGGAGCAGCAGGCGGCAAGTAAGAAGAGAGGAGAATGGGGCAAGCAAACGAATGGAGAAGCAAGGGAAACATGAAAAACAGGTGAAGGTGGTTACAGTACGCACTTAGTAGGCATCCCAGGCCTCGTGACAATAGCCTCCAAACAGATGTCTTTATCGCTGGACATTTGGGATTGATTGGAAGTGTAATTTCCCACTTCGTCGGCTCGTAAGCAGGGTTGACACTAGGGCAAGGTGGATTCGGGCGTTCCCGAAACTGGCCTGAAATCCACCCTGTTCGCGTCCAGATTTGATGTCATAAAACTCGAAAATAAGCCAGACCCAAAGTTGAACATCTTACATTTCCGAACGCAGGACCCTTAGTACCCTTTAAGTTTCGACATTCAGGGTAGCTCCTCTACTAGTGTAGGCTCTGTTCGGAAGTTGTCTGTTTGTAACAGCCTAGAATGCTGGTGATCTTAGTGTTGGTGGTGGTCATGGTGGCCCTTGCCCCAGGACTCTCTTGTGGCGTCCAGCAGCCCGCAGCCGCCGCACGAAGATGCATGCTGCGAGCACTTGACCCAGGAAATCATTCCCAGTCTGTTCGGAAACAAACCTCAAAGACCCCTCAGAACCCACCAAGACCCACCTTCAACTCTCGGCTGCAGTCGCTGCACGAAGGTGCATGCTGCGAGCACTTGACCCAGCAGCAGCGTCGCCCACGCTGCTCCTCTCACGTGCGATAGTGCTTACGTTATGAGTCGACTCACAACGAAATTACTATCACACGGAGGATCAACCGGAACGGCTCACCTTTTGAGTTGCCTCAAAATCAACCGGAATGGCTGCTCACCTTCAACTCTCGGCCGCAATCGCCCAACGAAGATGCATGCTGCCAGCACTTGACCCAGCAGCGTTGCCCACGCTGCCCCTCTCACGCCCCTGAGGGAAAGGGGAGGGTGGCGCATTGGGGGTAAATGTGGAAGAGTATGGGCCATATGGGCACTATGGATGGAGACGTCTCAAACCAGCGCTCACCACCCCATGTAGAGCGCCAGAAGCGCATCCCCTGGCACGTTGACAGGCGGCTTAATGTGTCATGCCATGCCTTGGCTGGCCCCCAACCCCAACCACCCACACCCAGCACTCACCACCCCATGTAGAGTGCCAGCAGCACGTCCCCCGCCACGTTGACAGCAGCCGCAGCAGCGAATATGAGCAGCGGGGTCACTGCGTCCTGCTGCCCCAGACACGCGCCCTGGGCCACCAGAATGGCCAGCACGAAGGGCGCTGCGGGGGGGATGGTTGGGAAGAGGGGCGGGGGTTTGCAAGGGGGATTTGAAAGTGCGTCCTGCTGCCCCAGACATGCGCCCTGGGAGACCAAAATGGCCAGCACGAAGGGCGCTGGGGGGTGATGGGGATGGGGGAGGGGAAGGGGAAGGGGAAGGGGAAGGGGAAGGGGAAGGGGAAGGGGAAGGGGAAGGGAAGGGGAAGGGGAAGGGGAAGGGGAAGGGGAAGGGGAAGGGGAAGGGGATGAGGTGGCGATAGGAAACAAGAGAGTGGCCCTGCTCCCTGCTGCCGCAGCGCAGACACTCGCCCTGAGAGTCTAGAATGGCCAGCACGAAGGTGGCTGCGCGGGGGATTGTTGGGAGGATGGGCGGGGCAGGTGGGACGGCGGGGGGGTTGGGTGGGGGGAAGGGGCGGGGGAGAGACGGTGGGGACTAAAAACGCGACGTCTTGCCCCAGACAAGTGCCGAGGTGTGTATTGAGTCGACTCAAAATACTCCTGCCCCAGACAAGCGCCCTGCCTCACTAGAAAAGCCAGGAGGAAGAAAGAAGTGCCGCCCTACCTACCCCCCCTGAGCATGCAGAAGGGGAGGCGCGCAGGACAGGAAGCGTGAAGGAAGAGGGATGCGTCCTACCCACCAACCCGAGCAAGCAACTGCCTCACCTGAGAGGGCGCGGATGCGGAGGTACTGCAGGGCGGGGAGCAGGAAGGGGGCTGTGTCCTCCTACCCATAACCCGAGCGCACCATTGCCTCACTCACCTGAGAGGGCGCGGATGCGGAGGTACTGCAGGGCGGGGAGCAGGAAGGGGGCTGTGTCCTCCTACCCATAACCCGAGCGCACCATTGCCTCACTCACCTGAGAGGGCGCGGATGCGGAGGTACTGTAGGGCAGGGAGCAGGAAGGGAGTGCGGCAGCCCATGGCTCGAAGGAGGGACGGGCCCGAGAGGAGGAGCGCGAGCGCCAACAGTGATCCAATAACCGCTGCCATGAGCATTGCTGCTGTCACTGCCCTGCTGGCCTGGAGGAGTGGGGGAGAGAGGGGGAGGGAGGTGGGCGGCTAAGGGAAAGGGGGAGGGAAAGGGGGAGCAGGAAGGGGGACCAGCAGGCCATGGCTCGAAGGAGGGACGGGCCGGAGAGGAGGAGAGCGAAGGCCAGCAGTGCTCCGATAACTGCTGCCATGAGCATTGCTGCTGTCACAGCCCTACTGGCCTGGAGGGGGGGTGGAGACAGGAGGGGGAAGGAGAGGGCGGAAGCCCATGGCTCATGGCTCGAAGGAGCGATGGGCCGGAGAGGAGGAGAGCAAGGGCCAGCAGTGCTCCGATAACCGCTGCCATGAGCATTGCTGCTGTCACTGCCCTGCTGGCCTGGAGGAGTGGGGGAGAGAGGGGGAGGGAGGTGGGCGGCTAAGGGAAAGGGGGAGGGAAAGGGGGAGCAGGAAGGGGGACCAGCAGGCCATGGCTCGAAGGAGGGACGGGCCGGAGAGGAGGAGAGCGAAGGCCAGCAGTGCTCCGATAACTGCTGCCATGAGCATTGCTGCTGTCACAGCCCTACTGGCCTGGAGGGGGGGTGGAGACAGGAGGGGGAAGGAGAGGGCGGAAGCCCATGGCTCATGGCTCGAAGGAGCGATGGGCCGGAGAGGAGGAGAGCAAGGGCCAGCAGTGCTCCGATAACCGCTGCCATGAGCATTGCTGCTGTCACTGCCCTACTGGCCTGGAGGGGGGTGGAGACAGGAGGGGGAAGGAGAGGGCGGAAGCCCATGGCTCATGGCTCGAAGGAGCGACGGGCCGGAGAGGAGGAGAGCGAGGGCCAGCAGTGCTCCGATAACCGCTGCCATGAGCATTGCTGCTGTCACTGCCCTGCTGGCCTAGAGGGGATGAAGAAAGAGGGGGTGGGAGAAAGGGCAGCAGGCAGGGACATGGCTCGAAGCAGTTATGGGCCGGAGAGGAGGAGAGCGAGGGCCAGAAGTGATAGGAGGGGGAGGGAGAGGGCGGGAGCCCATGCTCATGGCTCAAAAGGGGGATGGGTCCGAGAAGAGGAGAGCCAAGGCTAGCAGCGCTACGACAATCGCTGCCGTCAGTGGCGCTGCTGTCACTACCCTGCTAGCCTGCAGTGGTTGAGGAGATAGAGAAGGGGGGTTTAGGAGAAAAGATGAGGGTGGGGGAGAGCAGAGAGAAGGGGGGAGAACGGTAGAGAGGGAAGGCAAGGAGAAAAGGATGGGAGGAGTGGCGGAAGGGTTGATGCTTCCAGCAGTGAGAGAGAAGGAGAGGAGAGGAGGATAAGGGGAGGAGTGGAGGATTGTTGCGGCAATGCTGCTGAGCCGAGAAGAGAATCTGCTTTTGAGTCGACTCGACTCAACAGGAGACGTGAGCGGGGATTTGCTTGAGTCGACTCAAAAGCAGACCCAAAAGCTGAGTAGACTCAAAAGCAGACTCAACAGGGGAGGTGAGGGGGGATTTGAACAACAATGAGATGATTTGTAGATCGAGAAGGCAGCTGCGGATGGATAAAGGAGAGCATGGGCCAATGCAGGGGGTAACGGAGGAGAGACGGCAGGGGGAATAGTGAGAGCAGGAAGACAGGATAGATAGAGTAGGAGCATAGGATATAGAAAGAGGTACCAGTAGGTTCTGCTGTGACTGTGCAGCGGAGGTGGGTTGGGGCGTGGAATGGCGGGCCAGCAGCGCACACGTTGCCGTTCCAAGGAAGGTGAAGGTCTGTGGGGTGTGGCATGCATGGGAGGGGGATGCATGCATGGGAGGGTGGGGGCATGCATGGGAGGGGGGCATGCATGAGAGGGGGAGCATGCATGGGAGGGGGGGGCATGCATGGGAGGGGGGGCATGCATGAGAGGGGGAGCATGCATGGGAGGGGGGGGGCATGCATGGGAGGGGGGGGCATGCATGGGAGGGGGGGGGCATGCATGGTAGGGGGGGGGCATGCATGGGAGGGGAGGGCATGCATGGGGGGTGTGGCAGGCATGGGGGGTGTGGCAGGCATGGGGGGTGTGGCAGGCATGGGGGGTGTGGCAGGCATGGGGGGTGCGGCAGGCATGGGGGGGAGGGGCATACAAGGTATGGTGCAGATGGGGCACGATGATTGACCGAAGGATGATTGGAGGACGCTGGGGAACATCATGGCACGGAAGAGCACCGCACCTGGCATGGCACGGCATGGCATGGCACGGCATGTTACCGCATGGCATGGCATGGCACGACATGGTACGGCGCCGCACGGCCCGGCATAGCAAAGCAGTGCGCATGAGTGTGACGGCGTTTTGTCCCGACCTGGAAAGAAGGAGAAGCTGATTTAAAATTTTAGGCTCCTCGAAAACAGTGCACATGGGGGTCACAGCATGTTACCCCGACCTGGAAGATGAAGTTGAAGACAGAGACGTTGGGGGCAAGCGCGGCGAGGTGCAGCGACCCCAGCTGCCCCACACACGCCGTGTCGATCAGCGTCATTAGCGGGTCTGACAGCCTGGAAGGGGCGAGGAGAGGGGGGGGGGGAGGGGGATTGGGGGGGGGGAGAGCAACGAGAACAATGTGGTCCAGTGAGCCCAACTGAGCCATACACGCCGTGTTGGGTGGTCTGACAGCCTGGGCGAAGGGGAGGGGGAGGAAAAGAGAGGGCGGGGAAAAGGAGGGGTGGAGAGGCGGGAGGGGAGAGGGGATGAGTGGACCCGCCGGAATGAGGGGATGAGAGCACCACGCATGGACTTTTGAGTGGACTCAAGAAGAGCACCACGCATGGACAGGAAGGACACGACACGAGGAGTTCAACAATGAGCTCCACACACCCTCTCCTCTCAACCCACTAACCACTCGACCCATACTCCACTCCACTCCACCTAATCCCCCCTCAATCCTTACTCCATCCAACCCCATCCCCACTCAACCCCTTTCGCTTACTCACACAGCACCCAGGGCCGGTAGGGCCAGGCCCCAGATATCCTTCAGCACTGCCCCCTGCTGCCCCTGCTCCTCCTGCTCCTCCCCCTGCTGCCCCCCCTCGCTCTCACTCCCATTCCCACAGCTTCTCTCCTCCCCTTCCTCCTCCTCATCATCATCGTTTTCGGCACCTGAAAGTGCACCGGCAGCTGCTGCAGCACAGCGCATCGCCCTTATCCCCCCTGTCGGCGCCATCACCCCTATCCGGATCACATCCAAAGTCCCCATAGCCCCCATAACCCCCGTCTGCCCCGTCGGCCCCGTCGGCACTGTCGGCCCCGCTATTTCACCAGGACAGCTCCATTCGGCACCTTGTCTGCACGCGGCCAGTCCGGGCACGCCGCTCGCTCCTGGAAACGCCTCAGAACGAGCAAGGGGATTCCCACTCCTCGTGATTCTTACTCCTCTCGCGGGCGCGGTCACTGCATGCCTGGGCTTGCAGTACCATGGAATCCTAGGGCTCCCAGGGCTCCTAGGGCTCCCAGGGCTCCTAGGGCTCCCAGGGCTCCCAGGGCTCCCAGGGCTCCTAGGGCTCCCAGGGCTCCTAGGGCTCCCAGGGCTCCCAGGGCTCCTAGGGCTCCCAGGGTTAGTACGGTTACTGGGGCTCCCAGGGATGCTATTGGTGGCGACATCGCCGTTGCTGAGAGGGTGGTGCACGGCGCTCCAGCTTGTAAAGGAGAAGCGCTTAGCGGAGCGCATTGACCTGCCGGGAAGGGCGGCGCAGCAGCGCTGTGCGGAAGCGGTATAGGCATCGGCATGGAGTTGAGTACGAGAGTGAATAGGGCGCAACGCGGAAACGCCGAGGGGAATGTGCCCGTTGATACCACTCACGAGACACAGACGCATGACGGCTCTCTCCTTTGCACGCACGGAGTTGCCAGGCTCAGGTGAACAGGAGGGAGGACGCTCTTTGGAGAATCTTATCTCTCTCTGAAATTTATGAATTCTGCTGCGTTTCGAGAATCTTATTTCTGCTTCTCCGGTATTATCCCAGCCACGACTGTTAGCCGGAAAAGGGGGGTCACGCCAGACATGCAAGAGAGCAGATGAGGGGTCCCAGCCGTACGATCATCCGGAACGGAGCAGATGTGTGGTCACGCCAGAAACGCAAGAGAGCGTGTTTTGCGTCGACTCAAAACACGCAAGAGAGCGGATGCGGGGTCCCAGCCGCACGATCATCCGGAACGCAGCGGGTGCGTGGTCACGCCAAAAACGCAAGAGAGCGAGACGCCAGAGACGTCACGCTACAAGCCTATAGCAAAAGGGAAACGGAGTGTGGAATGGCGGTGAGACTGCACGTGTCTCCCGTCATAGGCATCGCGGTTTTACGACAGGCTTCGGGTTTCCCAGGCTCCAAATTCGCCGGCTCAGAACTCGCCGCCTCGCGTCAGTTACCCAGTTCTCTGACTGCTAGGTTCTGACAGCCTCTGAGATAGTTAGGGCGGGTCCAAATAGTTCATACTCTATTCATTTCGCGAAAAGTAACCCGATTTTAACCTCGTTTGGACTTCGCGAGGACACGTGCGCGAATTTGCCGTAACTCGGGACGCTAGGTATACGTTTTGATATCGGTGGACACGTGTGGCGCTTTGGGGTTTCGCCAAGCCGGGCCTGGCGAAAACAGGGCGACCTCGCGAACATCTCGCGTGGCGCAACGCCAAATCGCACCAGCCACTTAAACCCAGCACGAAACATCAGTTTCGCGAGCTGCGACATTTAGTAACTGCGATTTGGGGCGTCTGACGCAAACCGTTTTTTGGGACGCACCCAGCTGGCGCCAGAATCTATTTAATTCGCAATATGAGATGCGGTTTGGGGGGGGAAACGATTTTGAGATCGTTTTCAGTTGTCGTACCCGAGCTCGTAAAAACGTGTGCAGACCCCCAATTGAACTATTTGGACCCGCCCTTAGAGACCGAGATTCAGGATTTGGAATTCAGGGAGGGGACGGCACGGCAGTTGGCTCTGCAGTGTTGCTGTGCACGGAATTTAGGTGGCAGCCAGGGCGGGGCAGGTGTAATGCTCAGCTCACGCAAGCTGATGTACGCGCTGCTGCAAAGACCAGGACGGGAGGGAACTGTACTATCTCAACCAGAAAGGTTGCGACATAGGCATCTTCTTGTAGCGCATGCTGTAAACGGTTTGCTCTACGTGTTTAATAAAGGAAACAACAGCCCAAATATTTTTGTTGGGTTGCATAGCACCTCTTACAATCGGTCGGTGGACTGAGTTTGGACGACTTTGTTTAGTCGGACAAGTAATCCTCACTACATTTTTTTCCGGGCCCAATGCGTCGCTCACTCTAACTAACGACACTAGTTATCTATAATCAGAATGGTTACGTTCTCCTCCCATAGAGAATCTCAACGCATCCATTCCTTTTACTGTAACTCCGAAACTTAGCATCCCAAAAGACCTTTAACAAAAATCTATGTTTCCCAATTATTATGTGGTCGATAATAACGACGACATAATAATTGAGCAACATAGAGTTTCCTAACGTCTTAGCGTAGAATGAATTGATTAGAATGAGGTGGTACAACGGGATATAACCTAAGGGGCTGTACTCTATATGAGCATGCATTTAGCTAGCCTAAAACATACACAAATTATATGTTGACACACCCCCTAGGCTAGACAAGGGGCATCGACTAGCAAGAGACACACAGCTCACAGTGACACTACTAGTCCAACCTCTAAGGAAAGGGTCCGAAGACCAGTCAGCAAGAGTACCAACTAAACAAGTGTAACCCAGGGCGACACTACTAGTCCAGCCACTGGAAGAAGAGTCACAAGGCCAGTCAAGATAATATAGGTAGTAGTACATAGTCAGGGTCCTAGCAAGTAAGAAGCTACAGGAACTAGACCAAGCTGTAGACAGTGCCGCTGATGATCGTTACACGCAAGTGCCTTCGTAAATATATCAGCTATGTTGGCACCTGAGGCAAAGTGTACTACGTGGGCTTGGCGGCGCTGTAGCTCGCGCAGGAGGAAGTACTGCAGCTGGATGTGCTTTGCTCTGCCCTCTAGTCGAGGCTCCTGACACAGGAGGATCATGGCCCTGTTGGCAGCGTACAGGACCAGTGCACAACTAGGCTGCTCACCTAAGTATGTGAGCAAGAAATTCAGACAGCGGAGCTCCTATGCCGCTATGGCACCAGCGTAGATCTCGGTCTCACAGCTCGACTGGGCTACAGGCGACGAGCGGGTGGACCTCCACGAGATGGCACGTGCACCAAGGCTAAAGCAGTAGCCCTGGGAGGACCTGAGCATCTCAGCGTCGCCCGCCCACGAAACGTCTGTGTGCCGAACCTTTGAAGGACTTGGTGCACCAAGTGTGACTGTGTGGGAGTGATGGTGCGCGCTGTTCTGTCCCTGGAGATCTGCAGGCCAAGGTAGCGGTGCAGCTCTTCTAGGTTAGTGCAGATGTGTCTCCTCAGCAGCTCTGCCTTCACGGAGGTCAGTGCGTCTCTGTCTGCAGTAGCAAAGACAAGGTTGTCTACGTAGACTGGAATATAGAACGGGATCTGCAGACGATCGGAAGAACTGCAGGTAAGCTAACGTAGCAGACAGCGTGTCGTGCCGATCGCGCGGTGCCTACCTCAGGCCGTAAACAGGGCGCCGGAGGAGCCACTGGGTCCCACGGGCGAAGGTGCCGGTAAAGCCTCACGGACGGCGTAGGTAGACCTGCTCGTGCAAACTGCCATGAAGAAAAGCTATCGAGAAGTCGAGGGAGTGCATCTCGTGGTTACGATGTGTTGCTACATGTAGCAGCGCCCGAAGCGGAGTCATCTTCGGGATCGAGGCAAAGGTATGGAAGAAGTCAACACCCTCGCTGTCTCTGGCCACATAGCGCGTGTTGAACACAGGCGGCTCTCGAGGAGGGCGCTTCACATTGAAGAGCCACCGGCCATCGACTACGTTCACCCCAGGTGGGGGAACTGCGTCGACGTAGGTGCCAGTGGATCTCCAAGATGCCATCTCCACGTCCATGGCAGCTATCCATTGGGAGGCCCAGGGTTCCGAGGTCACCTCAGCGTAGGTGGGAGGGGTCGGGATGTCGAAGGCGTTCGGGTCCCCCTCAGGGACTACCAGCATGGAGCAGAAATAAGGCGCGACTTTGGACAGGAAAGCAAGCTCGTACTGCCGATCCTCTAGAACATCACTGCCAAGGGCAGGAGCACCCCCGACGAACGGAGGACGGACAGGGTCAGAGACTAGAATGGTGGCGTAGTCAAGGTGGCGGGTAGAGGCGAAGTCAGCGACAGTAGCGACAATAGCGTCAAGACTCGAGACAAGAACAGACGGGTGGGTAACAAGGGAGGCAAGGACTCGAGGAATAAGAGGACTAGCAACACGAAGGTAGTCAGACAGAAGAGGCGGAGCGACAACAAGCGAGGACGGAGGAGTCGCGGAGAGGAGGGGAGGACTAGATGCGTGGGAACAAAGCAACATCGAGTGAGAGCGTTGGACAAGAGAGACATGACAAGCACGAGAGAAAAGACAAGACCAGAAGTGGGACGGAGGCGTTGGGTTTGGATTTTCAGGAGGAGTCACAGGAGGAGAACGAGGGGGGAACGAGCTGGAGACGAGTCTGGCGGAGGAAACACAGGACCATAGACACGCAGGGGTGGTAGTGGCGGGGGAGGCGCTGACGGGTGGTGAGGGGAGGGAAGGCCGAGCAGGTGAAGGGCGAACACCCGCGGCAAGAGCTGCTGCTGCTACTCCACGCCGACACCAAAACCTCTAGCTGCACCATGGCTTCCTCCGAAACGTTCCACTCCACCACCCCCAAAACGAGAACCCTCTCCTACACTGGTGCCACCCCCGAGACTGCCGGGACAAGCCACGATAGTAACCTTAGGACTAGCACTTCCAGAACCAGCACACCCAGAACCAGAACCCTCTCCAGCACTGGTGCCACCCCCAGGACCACCGGGACAAGCCACGACAGGAACCCTAGGACTAGTACCATCCTTAACGCCCGCACCCCAAGAGCCCACGGACGGCTGCTGCTGCGGATGGGACAACGGCTGCGGCTGCTGCTGCGGCGGCGACGATGGCGGAGGAGGAGACACCGGGGGAGAATCAGGTAGCAAGAATTGTGCCGCGGGACCACCAGAGTCAGACGACTCCTCAACCGGGACAACCGACGAGAGGGGAGTGACGTGAGACACACCAGACAGAGCAGGACGGGGAGGGATGGGAGTAGGGGCTACCGGAGGAGTGGGAACCAGTAACAATGGCGGGGAAACCGGGAGACCTCGGTGGGGAAAGCGGTGGTAGAAGGAGACAGACTCGTCAAAAGTGGTGTTACGCGAGTGAAAGAAGCGGTGAGACAGCAAGTGGTAGAAGTGCCAATCAGAGGAATCAAGGGGGAAACCAAGGAAGACACAGGGGACAGTGCGGGCAGTGAGCTTGTCCGTGCTAGAGGCACGAATGTGAGCAAGGCAGCCCCAGACATGGAACGCGGACGCGTCACCAGGGAATCCGGTCTAGAGAAGGGTCAGCGAAACCTGCAGTCGATGGGAGGGTGGCCACAGATTAAGCTGGTGAGTGGCGTAACGAACAGCGAACGGCCACAGAAAATGGGGTGCACCGGCATGGATCATGGAGGTACGAACCACCTCCATGACCAAACCGTTGCGTCACTCAAAGCCCCCATTCTGCTGCGGGGAGTTCGGCAGGGTGTACTGGGTGATGCCCTCCACACGACAGAATTGTCCAAGCCGACCGTAGGCAAACTCGCCGCCACGTTCGGAGTGGAGACACAGTACGGGGAGACCGCGATGGACGCGTGCAGCTATGACCTACGACATAAGAACGTTAGGCACGTCGGCCTTCCGCTCTACGGGAAACATTGGGGTAGCGCGTGTAGACGTCGACAAACACTAGAAAGTAACGCTCTCGACGCGGCCCAAGGTCGAGGGCTGGGCCCCAGATGTCCAGGTGTAGGGTCTGGAGTGGCGCGGTGGCAGGGCGAAGTGAGGAGGAGTGAGGAGCATGACGCAGAGCGTGCACGCCGACGCAGGCGAGGGAGGGAGGGAAGGGAGCGATGGAGGGAAACCCAGGACAAGACCAAGCTAAGACATGTGACGCAGACGCTTGAAAGGGGGTGACCTAGGCGATGGTGCCACAGAAGCGATGGGTGTGTGAGCGACCGACACGAGCAAGCCGCAGCGACATGGGTAGACATAGGCATTTGGGGGGACGCCCTCATCAGGGGGGACTCGGTGTCGAGCGTAAACAGGCTAGACACTGTGTCTAGGGGGAACGTGGTGAGGGGGGCACCTTTGGCGGCCTCGGTACAGATCGCGTAGCGCTCGTGGCCAGCGAACATAGTAATGACACCGAGGTCCTGAAGACAGCTGACACCAATTAGGTTCCCGGAGAACGAGGGGATGTGTA